CCCCAAAACCCCAAAACCCCAAAACCCCAAAACCCCTTAAAAGAGCAAGCACTTTGAAATTTAAATATTTTTATAAAATTTGCGAAATGTCCACAATTGCCTCCACCCATGATGATACATATTCTCAGAGGAGCAGTAGCACCCAGAATGACCACCGCCCAAGAGAAGAAGAGGATAGCAACGAGGTCAGGATGACTGACAGATACTTCAAGACCCTCTTTAGGAATAATTTTGGCCTTTACTATAACACTTTTGAGCTCAATGAGAAGTTATATTTACATTACAAGGGCTTCACAAGAATAGAAAATTTGGAAAAATTTCCAGACCTCAAGTGTATCTACCTCGAAGGAAATGGTTTCACAAAGATAGAGGGACTAGACACCAATGTAAAGATAAGATCCTTGTATATCCAAGAGAATCTGTTTGAGAAGATAGAAAATTTGAATCATCTGAAAGACCTCCATTACTTGAATTTGAATGATAACTACATCACTACAATTGAGAACTTGGCTGGAATTGAGGACCTCAACACACTGCAGATCAAGAAGAACAAGGTCGGAAAGAACGGCTTAAGTGACGTTATGGGACTTCTAGACGTTCTTAGTCTCTCCGTCCTCGACATCTCAGAGAACTTTATCGACGACCCAGCTATCATCGAAGAAGTCTTTGCTAAGATGCCTAATCTTAAAGTGCTATATCTAAAAGGTAACCCTGTCTGTAAAAAGATCAAGTACTACAAGAAGACAGTAATTGCAAAGCTTCCTCAATTGACTTACTTGGATGACTCTCCGGTCTTCCCAGAAGACCGTCGCTATGCAGAGGCCTTCTACAGAGGCGGTATGCCTGAAGAAAGAGAGGAACGCAAGAAGATCAAGAAGGAAAAAGACGATGAGCATTGGAGAAACCATAATGCATTCAGAGAAATGATAAGAAAAGCTAAAGAGAGAAAGCAACAAGAAGAAGCAAAGAAAGCTGAACTGAAGAAGGAAAAAGATCAGGAACAGGAAAATGAACAACAACTTGATCAGGAATCATCTGTTCAGCCTGAGAAAGAAGAGAAATTGAAAACAGAGAATGAAAAGATGCCTAAAGAAGAAACTAAGGAAGAGCTTAAAGAGGAGGTCAAAGAAGAATCAGATGACCTCCCACCTGAGCTTGAGGAAGTCACTCCTGAGCAATTGGCTAAAGAGCAAGAACAGTCAAAAGTTAAAAATTTGATCGACCAATTAGCTTCAAAGCAGCCTGAAGTAGTAGAAGAAGAAAAAGCCTCTGACAAAAGTCATAGTACTGTTGATGTGAATGATATCAATGTGGACAATAGCAACTCTATTAATCTCTCTGTTACTTCTGAGACCTCAGACCCTCACAAAGTAAAGGCTGAAGACTCTCTAAATCATAGCAGAGTCTCAGAAAGCGAGGAGGAGAAACACTTAGAGGATTCAGCAAGTGATGCTGAAGAGTCTGCTAAGACAGAGCCTGGACAGGCTCAAGACAAGCTGAATGGCAGCCAGAGCTCTAACCTCAACCATTCAAATCAAAAACCTCATGATGATGATGGAGATTATCTTGATGAGTTAGATTAAATTCTGGAATGGGAATTCTTTTCAATCTTGGCCAAAAATTGAGGGGTTTTGGGGTTTTGGGGTTTTGGGGTTTTGGGG